AGCTCCTGGGCTGTGCGCAAAGGCTCCAGGGAAGAGAGCCCCGCGCAGGTACGCAATCAATGTGTCGTCGCGAACAATGCCCCCCCCTGCGCGCGCTCAGCGGGCCACGGTAAAATTATCAAAGGCTGACTGGTCCGCGGTGATAAAAAGGTTGGGGACCACTGCCTTAATGGACATGTTAACAGTGAAGGCAGGAAGTTTGTGCCTTCAGATTTGCAAGATTCTATAAATGTAGCCTTGCAATAAGACAGAATTAGTTCATTTTGTCCATTTCCTGCCTGGTTTACCTGGAAGATCTGACAGGACCGAAGAAACCTCTCAACATCCCTGTATAAAAATATTTTGGCAATTTTTGCTACCTAATTGGAAGGCTTTTCTAATATTAAAAGTATTTGGAAGTCCTAAAATAAGCAAAGCAAATGAGCATGTTTTCTTACTCTTAAATATGAAAAAACCATATTCTTCAGGAAGCAGCTTAAAGGGAATGATTTGTCAGGCCACTGTTGAAATGTAGTGCCCCTTTGAAAAGCAATGCTGCCCTAATTATTACTATTGTCACTAATTGTTTTTATTTAATTTTATACTTTCTAAACAACATTTACTTTGTCCAAGGAAATTAAAGGTGATTGAAACCTCATGATGAACAGCATTCTTTATTTTGCTAGACTGTAATAATTCCTCTTGGTGAAATATATTTTTTTTTTGTATAATTCAGATAACTTATGGACACTTTGCCTCCTAATTTATTTTTAAAAAATTTAAATTCTGTCTCATGTTTAGGTGAAATTGCTGAATATAGAGAAGAATTCTCCACTTTCAAGTTGAACTATTCTGTTGAAGAGATTGAAAAGTTGCTTATTGCAGCAAAGAAGAATGTAGCAAATGTTCAGCAAAAGATTCTGGAGGAAATCAATCACATTGTAGGCTCTACTTCATAAACTGCTGAAGCAAATGTTTTCCATTATATATTGATTGATGAAAAGCTTGTTCTCCAACAGAAAATACTATTACTAACTATTAATACCGAGGAAGTTTTATGCAGTTTACCTTCCTCCCCTGAAAGAGGTTTAATTAATATCTATTGAGTTTGGGATCATGCATATTTGTGATTTTTGCTAACATTATAAAAAAGTAAAATTTTACATTAATAATTGTTCAATAATTCAGAATTGATTATCCAGAGAAGTAAAGAATGGAAAAAATTAAAGAGGGAGATCTATCTATTTTGAGATAGAAGTTAAGACAATAACTAGAAACTAGAAGACTGTAAATTGTAATCTTGTTTTAGATATAAATCTAGCTAGCCATTTCTAAAAAAAAACTAATGACAAAAGAATTGCAAGGAGTAGAGATTGGGACTAAAAAAAATCACTTGGAGATACATGTTTTATGGTTTTTTATGAAATACTGCTATATTTTCTAGTTTTTATAATACATACATACACATACATACATACATACATACATACATACATATGTATGCTTATAACATTTTTAAATTTTAATTTTCAAACAAACATAAACACACAAAACATATAATATAAAAACCTCTTCAACTACATACAGTATGTCGCTTGGTTATAATATCTTTCTGCGTCCTTTCCATAGTCATCACTTGAGCTTTATCAAAAATCACATATTGTCAATCAAATATCTTTTTATACATTATTATTGTACTTCATTTGTTTAATTATCACTATTGTTTCACCATTTTAAACAAGGTATTCTAAATATGTATCAAATTGTGTTATAATGATTCATTATATCATCTTCAATATATCCAATAATAAAGATTTTTTTGTATCCTATTCTAAGTCATTCTATTGTTTTACCATTAATAACATTTTCTAATAATTTTCAATTCCATGTTTTTCTATTATTAATATCATCAATCTAAGATACATTTATATAAATTATTATAATTGTTAAACATCCATTAAGCATAGCTATTATTACATCCTTTTTATATGAGGCATATTAAATTTGAGGTAAATTTATATTATGGCATTTCATTACATCATCCTGAAATCATCCAATGACATCTTTATATTCTATTCTATATAGAATTATTTATCTTTTATAAAAAGTCTTTTCAATCTCATCTCCATCCTCACTTACAGTTTATATAGAATTTCATATTATCAATCTAGTATATAGCTATTGTTACTTTATCTTATACATACACTCAAAGTTTAACTATATTTAACTAAATTTTATTGTGACATTTCATTTCATTTCATCATCCTGTATCCTTCCAGAAATAGTGCAGTCCAATATCTCTTGCCATTTGTAGAATCTGTATTCTAAGTGTTTTCTTGTTAAGTCTTATGTGGACTTCTCTTGACAATCTTATAAGAATTCAAAACCCTCCATTTGTTCCTTTCATCTGCTTGACTTTTGTTATCACTGGTGCTTCTGCTGAAATTACACTCATTGTTTCTGCCAAATTTCTCCCCTTTCTTCATCTATGTTTTGACATCTGAGATAGAGTTCCAGTTCATCGATCTCTCCTTTCCGTATTTTGCACTTATCATTTCCCTCCACACTCGATTTGCTGTCAACGTCAACAATTTTCTTATCACTTTCATATGTCTGGAATTTTTTGAACTCTGTCCTCAAATTTCATCATTGTTTTATAAGTATTCTCAACTCTTCCCTCTGTACTTTCTGTATTTTGATATTCTGTGTTTTGATCTATAAACATTCTTTTCAATTCTCTCTGTAGTTATTAAGAGTTTTTGAATTTCTAAATATTTTTTGCAATGTTAGTTCCTTTTCTTCTTCCTATTGTGCAATTTTTCCAAATTATAAACACTGCCTCTAAGACATCGAAAGCTTTTGCTAGGTTTCAAACAAATTCAGTGAAGTTTTTCCCCCTAATTCTTTCAGTAAACAAAGCCCATAGCTTTGTAATATCAGATGTTGCCAAGCCTCTAGCCACTAGATGGCAGTGTTACATCTTTTCTCTCTGTTGCCTCTCTTTTCTAAGCTCCAAACTCCAGATAGAGTTTTTCTATGGAAAAAGAAAAAAAAATTGTAAAGATTACAATCCGGCTGAGCCTTGCAAGGAAAGAGGCTTTTAATCCACAACCACAAAAAATGAGAAAATTATAGAAGAAGAGGGGGGGAAAAAAGACCAGTCCAGTTTAAAAGTAAGAGGCATTTGTAAAAAGTCCGTCCATAGAAAACAAACAAATTTAAAGTGGAAAAGATAACACAGTTTTAAACCAGGGTAAATTTGCCACTTATTTCCTTCTGTCTTCAATTTTATTTTAACTCTGAGTCTTTTGGGTTTTCTTTTCTAGTAATAAAGATTTTTCTTACCATTTCTGCACTCTGTCTCTCCTGCACTGTTTCCGTTTCAGGGGCTTGTCCCATCTTCTGCAGCCATATTGGCTGCTTCTGTTGTAGCTGGCAAAAAGAGCTTTTTCCTGGATCAATTAGGGGCTTTATTATGCCCCTGAGATCAGCAGGACATGCCCTTCACTGTCACTGTTCCTTCAGAATGGTTTAGATCCAAAAAAGATCATCCAGCAACAGAGATATCGACAGCAATCCTGGAGCCCCAAGATTGCATGTTGTGTCATAGCAACGTCAAGACCCACCCTCCATGCTTATAACATTCAAACATTTTACATGTATTTATAATTTAGTCATATTTTAGATACCCAAATTTTCCTTGGTTTGGGAAAGATGCACAAAATATTTTTCTACACATAGCAAATTAGAGGAAACATTGATTTGAAGAACTTGTTTTCCTAATTTCTATATCCCTGAAAATGATGGAAAATTTGTTTCAGTTCAGTTGAGTATGGAATTATAATAAGTTCTAGCACCACAATTCTTTCCCCTTTTTTGTATTTGCAATTCTCATGAATAATTGTTGGACATTGTTTAAAGAACTGTGCACTTAATTTCTCTTAAAATAAGAATTATGTTTATATTAATCTGTAAGGTGTGTGTGATCAAGAAATTTAAAGTAAAAGTAAAGTAAAGTTTTATTGGATGCATTTATTCTGTGCTACAAACCTTACCAACACAAACAGTGGGTTTAAATGGAAAATAAACTTTCAGAAGAAACAATGTTCTTCTGTCACTGTTTCAAAACAAAAGAGCTCAGGATGAATTACCCACAGTCCATCAACCTAATATGGGAATACCAAAAGAAGCATCTAGCTAGTGCTTTCTCACACTCATTTTTTTTTTTGTTAGCTCATTCAAAATTTGTTTTCATGGCAACTGGACTCAGTGAAAGGAAAGTATAAAACTATAAATTAGTTCAGTAGCCAAAGAAAAGCAAAGTTGAGCACATGAAGTTCTCAGTCTGGTACAAATAAAAATATCCAAGAGAGCTAACAGGAGAGGTCCATCATCCATAAAATGAAGCCAATATTTTTAAAGATGACGTATTACATTTCTTTGCCATGATATACCATTTATTCCAAGCATCTGATTGACTAAGACAAAGATCCCTTGTAGTGGTGGAATTATAAACTGCTAAATAAAGTTTAGTACTGAAAAGAGGGAAACATATGTTTTTTTTAAGTTTGAGAAAGGAAGTGAGCTATACTGAACAACGCATGGAAACAATAAACCATCAAAAAATGCCTTATTGTCTTAAGTAAAACTTCTTTCACAGACAGAATAGTAGCAAGGATTGTTTTTGTATAAATTCCTTTGTTATGCAGAGTTGATGACTTGCCAAAACCCAGTTTGTGTGCAACAAAAATTTATATTTGAAATGGCAGTGAGCGCCAAAGATGCTCACTAAAAATTGCCTACAAAGAAATTCAATTCTCTTATTCAGCAAGTTAAAAATGTCAGATTTTGAGCTATTGTTTTCAAGAGGAAATTGCATTTTCACTAGTCATAGGAGAATCTGCAATTTCAAGAAATGCTGAATTTTGTAGGTATTGCCATATGATTAGAAGATTTTTAATCAGATTAGAAGATTTTTAACAATGAAACAAAATAAAAAGGGGCTAAGGAAGACTTGGTTTCCTTTTCAGTTGTAATCACACTGTACTGACTTGTTAATAGCAAACTATTTTTTTAAATACTAAGACATTAAACATTTGATAGTACTTGATGAATCAGTATTTCTAAATTTAATCACTTTAGTTCAGATTTATCCTTTCTCCAAATTTCTATCTGAACAATAAAAACAATGAGTTTGAAATCTGAACAAAATAACATACAATAATTACATATTCTTCCAGGCTACTGATGAAATAGGGGTAAGATATGGGTGTTACAAATATTTCTATACATATCACTATAAATGAACACATTTAGACTGTTTGGATAGCCCATAATTTCTCAGTAATTATTTTGCATGACAGACCAGGTTATAGGTCAATTATCTGAATGCTATGGCAACTCACAATTGAAAATTCCATAAATAAGCTGTACATTCTTAACTTGGTAAAGATGTTATACAAACTGATTGTTTTGTACTTTATTTTAATAATCTTGCCTAATAAACTATAACTACATTTATAATAAATTGCATTGATTTGACTCAAATATTTCCCAAGAGATCAGTTAGAAGGATTATTGTGCTGCTCCCTGCTTTCTTAAGCAATTCCAAAACTGATTAGGATCTTGGGAATGGGGGAAAAACCACTTTCACTGCAATGAATCTAAATATATAACAAAAAAGGGGGGGATGCCCCTCTCATAATAGCAATTTGATTTCTTTGATTTGTCATATGATTGAATGTAAATGTCACAACTACGGAGATACATCAATATTAGAGTACTGAATTAGGTCCTGTAGAATCTCAAAATGGACACTATTATATAAACTTTCAGAAATCTCTGTTTAATTCAATAGATGCTTGATACATATGTAAGAGGAAAAGAAAAAAAGTATTCTCTGCTTTTACACCATCTTAACACCTCTGGTCAATCCACTCATATATAGTTTAAGAAAAGAGAGGTAAAGGAAGTTTTGGAAAAAAGCCCTTTAAATATGGAATGAACAGAAATATTCCCTGTAATCTTTCCTCTCTCTCCTCCCCTCCTTCCTCCCCTCCCTCCCTCCTGCTCTCTCTAAGAAGTTTTTCCCTCATGAAAAAGGAATGTTCTTGAAATGAATTCTACTAATACTGGAAATGGTTTTCTTTTTTTAGAGAGATTTTTGTTTCTTTTTTTTTGTTAATATAAGAAATGTTAATAAATATGGACTTGCATCTTCATGAGTATTGCAGAATGTTTCCTTTATTATTCAATTAAACTAAAATTAATTAAGGAATTATCCTTTCCTAGTCAGGCATTTGTTGATTTGAACTTTTTTTTTCAAAATAAAGAAATGTACTATATGTACATTTTTATAATATAGTACTTTGAAACTTGAAATGCTTCAAAGTATAGTGGCAAGACCAATCTAGGATTGCCTATATTATATCTTTGCTCCACAAACTTCATTGACTATGTCTGCTGCTCTGTGCAGTTCAAGTTTTTGGTTATGACTTTAATGGCATAGGTCAAGGCTATTTGATGAACTGTCTAATTCCACTAGGACAAGCCTGTTCTGCTCGTTCTGGCAGAGAGAACCTTCTCCCTGCCAGCAAGAGTAGATCCCATCTGTCAAAAACTTTGTTTCTCAGGATCTAGAAGAAAAGCTTTATCTCTACAGTATCTCCCTTTGAATCATCT